TTTGTCAGAAAGATAGGGGTGATATATATATTAAAACCATAAAGGGAACAATGTTCCAATTACAAGGGGATAACCCGACTGACCTAAAAGATGAAAATGAGAGATGCTATGACAAGCACCTAGAACCTCAAATACTAAAATCAACAAAAACAAGAACCAGAACCATGCTCCTACACTGCAACTAGCCTAGCTAGGAGACATGATTCCACACTACAAAAGAAAAAATCACAAAACTAAATGTCATAATAATTATCATATATTTAATTAAGTGTAAAGAAGAGATAAGAATAGAATTATATGGTAAACTAAAAAATTAAGTAAATAAATTCCTTTTAATTTGTGAGCATGAAAATGATTAAAATAAGATTAAAAATCTTAAGAAAAAAAAGAAAAAAAAAAAGGAAAAAGAAAAAAGGGGTCAAGAATTTTCTTATTTATGGAAGTAGAAAAATACAACAAATAATAAAAGGTAATTGATCTGTGCAAAGGCAAGTGAGAGGCTCCGCTATTCTCCTTCCTAACGGCTAGTTAATCCATAATCCACAAGGCTTAATGGAGCACACGAAGACCCGATCTGGACCGTCCATTCATCAGCGAATCCAACGGTCCCCAATTAGACATGAGAATATGACCGTTAAATTGTGAAGAGGCGTCCCTCTACTTCATATACCTTTTCTCTGCGCCTCAACCCATCTTCTCCTCATCATTATTTTCTCCAGGAAAAAAATTACAGTCATTTAGAGAGAGAAAGAGACATTAGAGAGAGATAGAGAAGCAAGAACTGCTTGTGGGTTTTGGCGATCAGAGCCGAACGAAGAGGATTCAGCCGTGTTTTGGAGGGATTTTCGGTGACGATTTTCGGCGGCGATCAAGACTTAGAGATGGCTACGAGAGTTACAGCTCCAGAGAAACCAAGAGGTATATTTTTTTTTTCGGATCAATTGATGGTATTAATTTATCTTCTCAAAAGTTGTTATCTTTATGGATTAAATGATATTTTTCGTAGAATTTTATGGGTTTTTTGTGAAGGGTGATTTCGGGGTTCGAATATACGTAGACTGCATATAGGGGTTGATGATATTAGTTTCGTTTTGTTTCTTGTATCGATCAATTATGGGATAATGTTGAGGGAGGAAGGAACTGTTGGGTTTTCTTGTTTCTTGTAATTTTAACAAAGATATATATGTCAACAGGTTTAGTATTTCAGATGCTATTCACTGTTGTAACGGTCCTTTTTGTGTTGGCTGTAGAATTTTCTGGGTGTATTTGTTTTTGTTGTTTGGTCTTATACAAGAGGATCCTAGATTAAATAATTTTTTAAGGTACTTTGATGCTACTTTGAATCTCATCACCGTATATATTGTGCGAAGGACGATGTTGAGTCTTGATGCTGAAATTCCTCCACCGGCCACTGATTGATTGATTGATTCAGTCCCTCTTGATACTATACATAGTCTTGAACAAGAATTCTTGGGTTTGGTTTCGAACTGGGTTATCGATTTTACGTTGCAATTCTTCTATTATATATCGACAGTTGAAGGGAAGCAGAAGAATGGAGGCCAGGCTGAGGGCAGAAATAGGCGAGTTTTGCGAGACATTGGGAACATGGTGGCGGCTGCAGCTCCTGCTGTTGAGGGGAAGCACCAGAATCAGATCACTCGCCCCATCACTAGGTTGTTCTCTATCTCCACAGTCAACACACATACACAATATGTGGTTTTGGGCCTTTCTAAGTAAAGATATGTAATTAGCAGAAAGAACTGAGCATATTCTTGTATTTGCAGGAGTTTTGGAGCACAGTTGTTGGCAAATGCCCAAGCAGCCGCTGAGAAGAACAACTTCAAGGTATAAAAGAGGAGTCTTGCGATTTTTAATTGACAACTTTCCTTTTTTCTTTCGCTTAAGATTGATTATGTGTGTGTGTGTGTGTGTTTGTATTTTCATTCATATTAACTACTGTGAATAGGAGGCATTAACAGAACTATTTTAATCACTATAACCGTGCAGAAGCCATTAGCCGAGAATGCAAATGTGCTGGTCGGAAGAGACGGGGCTGCAAAAGCGGCCGTTCCTGTCAAGAAGGAACCTCTGAAGCTGAAGACTAATGAAGCCGTGGTTGTTAGTAGTCCCCCGAAAGAAAAAGTCTACAAAAGTGGTGAAAAAGTGAAGGAAGGATCATCTAAGAAGCACAACAAGACTCTCACCTCAGTCCTCACAGCTCGTAGCAAGGTTTCTTTAAAAGCTAAATATGTTCTTTATAAAATCAATTCAAGTATGTAGTGGTGTATACTCAGAATATTGATACTGTCCTGAATTTGCTAGGTTGCTTGTGGAATTACCAAGAGGCCTAAGGATCTGATAGTGGATATCGATGCTGCTGACATGGACAACGAGCTGGCGGCAGTCGAGTATGTGGAGGATATCTACAAATTCTACAAGCTTGCTGAGGTAGTAGTAATCTGTATGTTTTGTTTTAATTCTTGCTGTCTTTTGCACTCTTTCCTCTTTTCTCCGTTTTTTTTTCTGAGGTGTTGTGAATTGAATGTCAGGATGATGGCCGGGTTCGCGACTACATGGATTCGCAGAAAGAAATAAACTCCAAGATGAGGGCCATTCTTGTGGACTGGCTGGTTGAAGTCCACAAGAAGTTTGAACTGATGCCCGAGAGCCTTTACCTTACGATCAACATCGTGGATCGGTTTCTTTCCCTTAAAGCTGTCCCGAGGAGGGAGCTTCAGTTGGTGGGCATTAGCTCAATGCTAATTGCATGCAAGTATGAAGAGATATGGGCACCAGAGGTATATGTCTGTGTGTAAACATATTATGCTGTTACACTGTTACTTTCTCTGTTTGTTGTGAAATTTGAAATCCCTTAATTTGTGTGTGTTCAGGTGAGCGATTTCATAGCTATATCAGACAATGCTTACGTGAGAGAGCAAGTACTTCTCATGGAAAAAGCGATTCTTGGGAAACTCGAGTGGTACCTAACTGTTCCAACTCCATACGTCTTTCTGGTTCGATACATCAAGGCTTCTATCCCGGCCGATAACGAGATGGAGAACATGACATATTTCTTTGCTGAGCTTGGGTTAACAAACTATGTGACCATCATAAGCTACAGCCCCTCTATGCTTGCTGCTAGTGCTGTGTATGCTGCACGTTGCACGCTCAACAGGACCCCTTCTTGGACTCAAACCTTGAAGCACCACACGGGCTACTCTGAAGATCAGCTTATGTATGTTTTTGAGCTAAATTTGTACTTTTTTCTATTTTTGGACTGAAAATATTTGGCATTCTTTTAGGATTTTGAATGGTTCGTTTTCCGGTGTTAACAGGGAGTGTGCGAAGCTGCTGGCGGGTTTCCATTCGGGGCTTGCGGAAAATAAGCTGAAAGCAGTTTCAAGGAAGTACTCAAAACCGGAGAGAGGTGCCGTTGCTTTGTTTCCACCGGCAAGAACCCTTCTTCTAACAGACTGAAGTAGTGACTTTTAAAATTGTGAAGTGTTTTTGATGAGATCATTTGGCTGTCGTGATGATCCTCTGTGTGATGTGTGTGTGTGTTCTCAGGGGCCAATTTGTGCTGGGGATTTTTTTTTTTTACCTTACATTTTTTCAGTTGATTTTCAGTAAAAATCACTGTATTAACTGGCATTGATTGTGTGTTTATATATAAACCGAGCGTTTATGAAGTTGTGATAATTATACATATTATCTTGACTTTAACACAGACATTAAAGAGTTTGGCTACTGCTGCTTATGATAATTACAGTCAAAACATATGTATAGGTTGTGATAATTATACATATTATCTAAACACCATTATCAAACATGTTATACCCACTACTCAGCTCAAAAAAGTTCAAACTAGCAGTTGAACGTTAGGGTTCTCTTTTTAGCTAGTGCTGGTCCAAGTAGTAATTACTTAAAGTTAGCCTTTGTCTTTGCATTTGAAACAAAACTAGTACGTAAGCCCGTGCGATGCACAGGAATAAAAATATTAAATGAGTTATTTTTATGGGTTCTGTTCGTTTATGTCTAAAATCATATTGTTTTTTTCACTTCTTTTTCCACCTCTTTTAATTAGCGTTAAGATTAAAAAACAATAGGCTGGTTGTAATCTATTTTTCACTTCTTTTCATCAACATTGTTTTTTTAGTCAGAACATGAAATATGAGCGTGTTAGGGTTAGCTTGTAAAATAATTAATTAATATATTATCTTGCTAACACATTTATACTAATATAAATTTGATTTTAGTATATATATTTATTCCTTGATATAAGAGAAATTAACAGTTTTATTTATTTTTGTTCACCATATAATATTTAATTATTATTTGATTATAAACTTTGTTGTCATATAATGTCATTATTAATTATAAAAGTTATAAAGTTGGACTTTTTCTTTTTTCTTTTTATTTTATGTAATGAAGAATATTTAATGCACGTTAGTATTATTTATTTAAGTAAGCAATTCAAAATATGTAAATAAATTTAAAACTAAATAGTGTATAAATATTTTATGAATATACATACATGTTTATTAAAATTTAATTTTGTATACTCATTAAATAATTTGGATTTAGCAAATGTCAAAAACTCAATCTATAATCAAGCTTTTTCTAATTTGAATTATAAGGATTTATAGTTTATTTAGCATATCTATAGTGAAAATATATTTTTCAATAATTTCATTATAAAAAGAAATTAAAATAAAAAACAATGATAAAAAAATAATTCTGATTGTCAATAATATACAAATAAATTATAAACAACGGATAATATATTTCAATTTTGATTTTTGACAATTAGTAAAACTATTTAATGTATCTGGTCATTATCTCTTAAACGGTAAATTATATTAATTTTAAGAATAATTTATTTTATATATATGATTCAGAAAAAAATTACATTGACAAGGATTAATTCACTAAGTTGATTCGTCTGATTAATTGGAAGAAAAAGTGCTAACTAACCTGTTACGATTTTCTATAAATATTTTTGGATAAAAAGTGAATATTTGTGAAAAAAATTAATATTATGGTTAGAACTTAAAGTATATTGTAATATGTATCTTGACCAAAATATTATCAACATTGATCACGGAAAAAATAATCTTGTAATTTATTATAGTGGATATCAATGAAATTAACAGATGTCAATAAAATTATTTAATGAAAAAATATTTTTGTTCATATCTAATTTGATCTTATTTGAAAACATTTGTATGAAATCAATTAATGCATATATTTAAATTATTTCCAAAAAAAGGTTTGCATTAAATGCTACCAAAATTTTTGTCTACTATTTTTAGTACAATTGTTATTCTTATTGTATATTCTTTTTCAACGGCTTAATCACTCAAATATCACAAAAAAAGGGAATGTACATGGGTAGAACCCGAATCCTAAGAAATTGAGAGGCCAAGTACCACCTGCACTGCCTATACGAAATCACAACACTAAAGCATTACATAACATACCCATAAATCCTACAAATATGCTCGAAATGAAACTGAAACTAGCAACACTATACCTAACATATACAAGAAGAGAAATGCACCACTAACTCGAGACTTAGTCCACTCTCTTCTGCATCTGTCAAGTCTTGACCCTGCTGCTAGTAAAATCGAGTCACTCCTGCATAGCTGTTTTTATAATCCAAGTCTCAGGATGCCACTAGTTTTCAAACAACCAAAGGTTTATAGCTCGCCACAACCACGAAAAAATATATGTGGACAGCTGGATCCTATCTTTACTGATATCCATTCACTTTCATATTTAAACCACCAATTATTATTAAATTATTTCTTTATCACATCTCAATCAAATATTACATCAACATTTTAAATTATTTGAATCATTAATTTTCCATTAATGGTTTTTCTAAGGATAAAAAAGAAAAAAAAAAAAAAA